CTATCAGCACCTTCAGTCTCCTCCCCACCCAGCATATATTACAAGTCAACACTGCTCTTACATCTGAAGAAAGTTGTTTGGGTTATGAGCCCGCCCTGCATACCCACTATCAAAGAGAAGCAGCGCACAATGCAGGTGTGCAGGTGTGGCTAGCTCATCTGCCCATCACAGCCCAAATGGGGCAGCAGACTGCACTGTCAGGAACTACGGCCCATTAGAAAGTATGCATATCACACTACTGAGATGAAGGACAGGCTAGACATCCAGGGGATTTCCAATTCCAGCAATCATGGCAGCTGGTTGTTGGAAATAAGGTACCATTCATTTCAGGCTACTGAGGTTGGTGCCTGATATTACTTGACACATACAGGGGTTATGATCTATAATCTACATGGATGGAATGGGCACTCCTATATCCTGAGTATTGAGACTACAGGGCTGGCATTATACAGAACCCATACAGAGACAAGATGCAGGTAGGTGATATACAAATAGAGACAGATGTATGCTTGGGGTAGAAAGGGAGCAATGGGTAGGGCTGGTGCGTCATATAGCCAGGTTAGGCAGTTGCCTAGAGTGCCCCCATATAGGGAGCGCCGCGCTGGCCTGCCGCCCCCTCCCACACCAAAGGGCTGGCCTCCACCTCCTCAGAGCAGGCGTCATCACCAGCAGGATCGGAGCCACGCACATGAGGGAGAGTGCTGCTGCCATGGCCAGGCTCCCAGCTCCCTGAACCCTCTGTGTGCGAAGGATGCCCCAGCCTGGCTGGCCTCCTTCCCCAGTTTCCTGCTTTTGCCCGCAGGTGGGGGGGGCAGTGGTGCCGTGACTCAGGAGCAAGAGCTGCCCATCATCACGGGCCTGCAGAAACTGACTGGGCAGTGCAAGGTTTTGGGTGCTGATTCTGATCGGGCTTGGGCAGCCCCTTCTCACACAACCCGCCCCCCTCCCTTCACCCTGCCCTTGCACAAGACAGAGAGAGAGAGAGGTACTCCCGGGCGCCAGCTGCGATCCACAAGCTGTGTGTGACTGGCCCAAGGCTGCCCAGCAAGCTTCCATGGCAGAACGGGAATTCGAACCTGAGTCCCCCAGATCCCGGTACGACACTCTAGCTACTGCACAACATTGGCTCTGATGTGACTGGTTACTAAGAAATAAAGAGTTCTGTGAATGCTCAGAGGCACTTTTTTGCTCTATTACATCTTCTAGGAGCTGTGGCTCAGTGGTAGAGCACCTGCTTGGCATCCAGAAGGTCCCAAGTTCAATCCCCAGCTGGCAGCAGCAAACGGACCAGCTTGTCAGTGAGGGAAAAAACTTCAACCTGAGACCCTGGAGCGCCGCTACTGCACGTGAACACATGAAGCTGCCTTCAGTTTGGTGCCAATTTGGTGTAGTGGTTAAGTACGCAAACTCTAATCTGGGAGAACCGGGTTTGATTCCCCACTCCTCCACTTGCACCTGCTGGATGACCTTGGGCAAGCTGTAGTTCTGGCACAGCTGTTCTTGTCAGAGTTTCTGTCAGAGCTCTCTCAGCCCCACCTACATCACAGAGTGTCTGTTGTGGGGAGGGGAGGGGAAAGGAGCTTGTAAGCTGCTCTGAGACTCCTTTGGGTAATGAAGGGCAGGGTATAAATCCAATCTCTTGTTGTCGTCGTCGTCAACTGAATCAGTCCCTTTCTCCGTCAAGGTCATTATTGTCTACTCAGACTGGCAGCAGCTCTCCAGAGTCTTAGGCAGAGGTCTACCCGATCTCCAATTTAGAGATGCAGGGGATTGAACATGGGACCTTCTGCATGCCAAGCAGGGGCTCAGATCAATACATATGAACACACACAAAGCTGCCTTATACTGAATCTGGGTCAGTATTTTCTACTAAGACTGGCAGCGGTGCTCCAGAGTCTCAGGCAGAGGTCTTTCACATCACCTCCTGCCTGATCTTTAATTGGAGATGCAGGGGATTGAACCTGGGACCTTCTGCATGCTCTACCGCTACGCCAGGGCCCCAGAGCAAGTCCTAAAATGCATTTATGTTTGAAAACTGGTGTGCACACGGGGGGGGGGGACACTCAGAAGGTAGCCTCGCATAGTGTGCAAATAAACCTGGCACCAGCCCTGGTAATGGAGAAGCCTTGTTGTACCATAGCCCAGGGGTCCCCAACCTTTGGGAGCCTGCAGGCACATTTGGAATTTGGACAAGGTAGGGTGGGCGCAATAGCAAAATGGCTGCCACAGGAGGTGGAGCCAGCCACAAGACGATTGCCACAGCTTAACTTCAGTAACACAGTGCAGATCCTTGTGCTGTGCTGGCAGCTGCTGCCAAAGCAAGATTTTTAAAAAATCTGCACAGCCAATCAAATCTCCATTAGTCAGTCAGAAGCCTTGCAGTGCAGAAGCCCCACCTGGCCCATCCACTTTCTAAAATCACTTGGTGGGCACCTGAAAAGGTGTTGACAGGTGCCATGGTGCCTATGGGCACCATGTTAGGGACCCCCTGCCATAGCCTACTACTCTGGAATTGTGCAACTCTGTAGCCCAGGAGAAGCTCTGCTTGAAGACTGTTGCCAGGAGCTAGAAACAGGCACCAGCAGTTGTGCAGTTACCTAGGTTGAACTTGCTTGTACTCCTATATACAGAACTGGATTGTCAACTATTTGCTTCTAGACTGAGACAGCCTTTCTGTAACTGAGAATGAATTCATATCGTTTTCAGGAAAACACATCTTCACTTGCACGGCTGATTGTCATGGAAAACTTCCTCAGATTGTTTACACAATTTTTAGATTTCATTGAAAAAGCACAGTTAGATATTGGGCGGAGGGGAATCCTTTCCACTTTGGTTCAAGAGCTCCCCACTTTCTGTTGACTGCTTGAGTAAAAAGTATGACAGACAGCGCAAGATTCTCCCAGAACTTTCGGATGCATTCTGTGTGATTGAGAACAAGTACAGACACAGCCGGATTGTGGTCAAAGCTCCAATCAGACTTCCGAAGAAAGTCTGCATTGTCATTAGATTCTTAGAAATATCATAAAAGAGTCATCTGATACGGTTCATAACAAAACTGAAATAGCACCATGGAAATCTGAACAATTAGGGCTACTAATGTCTGTGTGTACTAAATTGAGCAGTCAGTGTAACAGTTAAACCATGCTCAGACAAGGTCATAAGTATAGTTCCAGTGCCGTTTTTAGTACCAATAATGTGAGATAACCATTCAAATTCTGTACCAGTTCGTGATTGCTTTCTAGGCTTGACTAAAGACAGTAGACCAACAAAGCCCCCTAAGCAGATAACCCAGCATATCTTTACCCACTCCTGTGCCCTATCCCCCAACCTTTAATTTCAGTCAGGAATACCCTCACCACCAATGTTAAGTAAGGGCTCCTAGGAAACATTCTTTGAGGGATACCACTGAGTCCTGGAATTCCCTTACCTGGAGGTTAGATTAGATGATCTAGATCTTCTAGAATGATCACCAGTCCTTTTTGTTGGAAACTGGCAAATGATGAATCCATTTTCCATTTCTCTCAGCCAAAATATGTATTACTTCTATAATGCTTTTTCCAGTTTTTATTGTTCAATTATTTAAATAGATGTTTATAGTTAAATTATCACATTGTTAGAAAAGTTATAAATTTTGTAAACTCAGTTATTGTATTCTGTGCAGGGTTTGGTGTGTTTTTTTTTCTTTCCCCCCCTTATTCCAGAATTGTTATTCTGCAAGCATGATTTTTCTGTATCTGTTGATTGTTATTCTTTAACATCATTGTATTTTGCTTGCTGTATTAAAAGTTAATATAATTGGGGGGAAACCAAGGAAATCGGCTTTTGTGATGAAGAGTATAGGGGAGGCAATAGGAGTTAAGGATGTAAATGACTTTTGTAATTAACCATTCCTAAATCCTATTCCTAAATAACTATTCCTAAATCCTGGGACAGGCTGGGCAAACAAACATAATCTTATCTGTAGGTCTCATCCAGAATACTTCTCACATAGTCAAGAGTCAGGTACTACTAATTCTCTTCTATAAACAGAAGGAATTTTTTTAAACTCAGAACTGACTCTATCCAGGAAGTGGGAAGATTGTGTTAATTTATTTTCAGGAAATAATTCCTGACAGATACCTAAATAGCGAAACAATTCAATCTAATTAAACATTAATGTCCAACAATCACATAAAACACATCAAAACAATGATTAAATGTAGTGACTTGTTCGAGCCTCTTAGAAATGTTTTATGTGTATTTCAAAAGTTTCTATGATATGAAGGGGGTATTTTTTTCTTTTTAAAAAGAAGGGGGGATATTGTTTAGCACGTCAAAGAACTCAGACTGCTCTAAATTGCTGTTAAGGAATGTACATGGCTGCTATAGGCCTTCAGTTGCTCACCCAATCCCTAACACTGAACAATACTGTCCTCTAGTCTGAAGTAGCTCCAATTCTTTTTGAAAACAACTGAAAATAAACTGAAGGCAGAAAACGGGCCAGGTCATAGCCCTCAAATCACAACAAGGTGCACTACAATATTCTTCTTTTATTTAGATTACAGAAGAATCTATCAGTACAGGTTGCAGAAAGAAAATGTTTAGTGCTATTTACAATTTGTTTTAAAACTCTGCTCTATACAAATTTAATTTTGATCATTATGAACAATATCTTTGTAGGCCTACTGCATATAAAGCATTTTGTCAAAGCAATAACATTGAATAAAATAACCCATTACGTTTAAATGAAGTTGATCATTCAGAAAACACAGAACATTTGTAAGGGTCATGGACTGAAGTACAGAACACAATGTCAACCTGCAAATTTTTTAAAGCCTAGAGCTATTTATATGGATTATTACTGTATTACTCTACACGCCAATCTATATTTAAGTTCTATAGTTATGTTTTTATAAGATCTTTATTAAATATATTCTACATATTTGTAATTTCAACTAGGAAGAATTTCTTCCCAGTGGAAAAATATAAAATCTTTTATAATTTTTTACAGGTTTAGATGAAACTAACTCATGCTTTAGTGCTGTGCAAAAAATCATTTTAGCATATCAATTTTTAAATTATTTGTATGAAATAAAAGAATGGCATCCTTTGTAACTAACTACATATGCTTTTAAAAACCAGCTTCTGATTTCCAATACAATTGCAAGCACTAATACCAAATGCAGATTACATAAACAAAAAGTCATCATATGGCAGAGGATTTTTTTTTGTCCTTTTTTCTTTTAGTTATTCCTTTGAAGTCACTAATGAGTAAGCATGACACTGGACACAAAGGTACAGATGAAGAAGAATGACCAAAAAACATCAATTGTTGATATTCAAAGACATAAAATTGATTAGTAAATGAGGTCTTCTAATATTTATGCACATTAATAAAAGCCTATGAACTACAGGAAATTACCCCTCCCATATTAAGGCTAGGAAATGCACTCTCTGCACTTATTTGTGCTGTCTGAACAAGCACTCAACTAATGTAAGAGAGAAGAGTGCATGTTAATGAAAAAAAAATTCAGTTTGAACAGCCCTCTACAGAGTGCTTAAAAATTACAGGCACATAGTTTGTTGCAGTGAAAATATATAATGTCTAAAGTCAGACTTAATTTTAGTTAGTATTTTGTGCCAGTTTGGCCACTAAGGTTAACTTTAGGTAGAATTTAGTAATTATTCCTCCCCTCCTTCAGTTGGCCATTACTGAATAATAATTAAAAAAAAAAGACTGCCGATAGTGTTTTCCAGTGCTGAATCATTTCTGTCTGTTTGAAATACTTAGAACTTTTGTTGATGAGGTCTATATACTTTCAACCTTTTTTTAGTGCAAATTGCATCTAGAAATGTTGATTAGTTATAGTTCAGGTTAAGGATGATTTTATGGCAGCAAAATGATTCCTGTTGAAGAGAATAGTTAACCTTTTCTTGGAGACAGAATGCATTGGAGAAGTGATGTATTAATAAGTTTGTTCAACAACCAAAAAGTAGGGGGGAAAGTGTTCATTGCTCTAGAAAAAAAACATATGCGACAGTGTTCATGTAATGTTTCAGTTCAATGGATTCACAGATAGGCTCTTCCTAAGGGTGTCTGAAGCGATGTTGGTCTCCTCTAGTCCAGCAGCATGAAAAACAAAAACTATTTTACATCACAAGTAGCAGAAACAGCAGAGCTTTTACAGGATTACACAGCAATTGCTCTCTCCAGTTTTTTCACGATTCCTCTGACCTGCAGAACAATGAAGAGAAGAGGCTTAAGACTATTGCTTGAGATGAGTGTGTGATATAAGGGTTCAGATTAATTCTGAACTAAACTAAACATTTGGGGTAAAGCACGTCACTTGGGTAGCTAAGTGGGCATTTACAGCAGGAGGTTTGTTTTTGGTTTGTTTACAAAATTGCTATTGTTTTTTAAACTACCCTCTAGGTTTCTCAAGTAGGATTGTTCATAAACCTTGAAGGAGCTATCTTGTTTTTAACAAATGCAGCAAGTGTACAGAGACTTTGAATTATGTGCCTATTGAGTCCATGTCACTGATGCTGCAGAAGTAGATTACAGAAAGAGCAAGGAGTGCTTTCGCTGGTTCACCAAATGCAGAAAGCAGACCTTGTCGTCCTTAGAAAGGCCTGGGTAACATTCAGATGAGACTACTGCCATGCGTTCAGTGTGGGCTGCCTATGAGGAATGCCTGGAAACGCCAAAATGCAGCAGATAGAGTCTTAATTGGAACTGGTCGTGATCGGCATACACGATCAATATTCTGTCAACTCTATGGCTTCCTGGTTTGTTTCCAGGCCATGGGGCCTGGAAACAAACCAGGAAGCCATAGAGTTGACAGAATATTGTGATGTTTTTGTAAAGTGATGTTTTTGTAAAGTGATGTTTTTGTAAAGTGATGTTTTTGACCTATAAATGTGATCCCTGCTCAAGACCTGAGATCAGTTTCCAGCTTCATAAGCCATATTATCAGAAGGGAGGTTAGGAGTGACCAGGCCTCCTTGATTGCTTCCCTGTGGCTATGAAATCCTTTACCTCCTGAAATCTGCTCCCTCCTGGTCTCCCAACGGCCTGTTTCATAGAATACATGTCTATTTCACATGGACTTTGGGACCAGGGTGAGCTTTTGCTTTCTTGCACTGACTTTTTTCCTGCTGCCGCCTGGTTTTACATATGTTTTATTTAAAACCATCATTATTTTGAGTCATTGCCTTTTATGCACGTATTCCACAATTATATTTCTTGTAAAGTGCATTATAGGCTTCACTAAATAGGAAGGCTGGATATAAATCTCCTATATAAAAAAGTTAAAAGTCAGATTCTGCTTCGCTTACCTTGAGAATTTGGCTCTGGCAATGTCTCTCTTGCCACCAAATGCATCACTGTTGTCTTGCCAAATGGAAGTTTTAATGCTGTGTGAAAAGGAGGAGAATGGTTAAAAATCCCTCTTCACCTCTACATAAGTTGCAAACAATGTTGGAAATATCACTGATCAGATTAGCATAATTTTCAAAGCCTGCCTGTGAGTTATGGTTGCCAAATCTACCTTGGGAAATTCCTGGAGATTTAGGGGTGGATTTTGGGGAGGGAGCTCAGAGAAGGATATGATGTCCACCCTCCAAAGCTGCCATTCCCTCCAGGTGAACTGGTCACTGTAGTCTGGAGACCAGCTGCAATTCCGGGCGAACTCCAGGCCCCACATTGAAGTTGGTAACCCTACTGCAAGTTATCACACCTAAAGTACCCATTACCCAAAGTACAAGGTGTTTTATAGATCACAGTAAGTAAATATTGTCCATGAATTACAGCCCCCCAAATGTTTAGAAACATTAATACAATTTTAGGTAGTAGCTTGGACCAATTAAAGTCATTATGGACTAACAATTTTAAAAACTATTGTTTTAATTTTAAATTCCCTTGTTTTAGATCATTTGCCTTGCAGCATGTCCCTTTTATTTTCTACCATATGAGATGGACAAAGGAATAAGAGGATTAACTGAAGTAGAAACTAATTTAAAGGCTTAGCCATGTTAGTCCGTTGTAGCAAAACTGAGCAAGACCTCAGGAGCATTTTCAAGACAAACCTTATTACAACAGACGATTTCATGAATTAGAGCTCACTTACTCAGATGCATGGTCATTCATGCATCTGATGATCTCTGACTCAAGAAAGTTTATTCTGGAATACATTTTGTTAGTCTTCAACTTGGTATTGGGCTCCAAAATAGAAACTGCTGGTGGCCATTATCCTCAAATAGACTAGCACACCCCAGCATGAAGGGAGATTTCTAGACTGGTGTGAGATGTAAGCCTTGCTGAACCAGTAGGGAATACTGACCACAGTGCTACTAAATTCAGCATTTACGTGAGCAGAAAGCTGCCCAAAAACATCCAACATTGGTCACATTTGACTTAAGAAGAAAGATTAACTGTGAGGGGAGTAGTCAAAAGGAAGAGAGTAAACATTTCATTCTATTCAGAATTCTCGGAGGTTAATTAAATCCACAATAACTGATGCTCAAGACAGAATGTATAGCACAGATTAGGAAAGGTTACATAAAAATAACAAGATGCCAGCATGGTTAAACAAAATCAAGGAAGCCATTAAAGAAATAAAAAGCTTCCTTTAAAAAGTGGAAATTGTGTCCAAATGAGGAGAACAAGCTGGCTCTGGTAAAACCAATGTTGACGTTAAGGCAAGCCAAACAAGGATTTGACAACCACATTGGTTTTTTGCAATCAATACGTTTCTTTACATATCTCAGGATCAGGAAACCAGCCAAAGAGGTAGTTTGGCTGCTGGATGCAAAAGAGTGAAAAGGTTGCTAGAGGAGGATCAGGGAGACTGAATAAACTCGAACCGTTTTCGCTATGGAAGGCATGGGGGACTATCCACACTGGAACTGCTGCCTAGAAATGTCTGTGGAGTGGAGCCAAACAGAGGTGAGAAGAGATGAAGCTCTAGGGCTAAATGACAAATTAAAGACTAACAGATGGCACATACCCAGGGGTTATTAAGGCGCTCAACTGTGAAACTGTCAATTTCCTAATGGTAACATGCAACTTTTCACTGAAATCAGGCTCCCTATCCAAGAACAGGAAAACAGCAAGCACAATGTAGACTGCTAAAAGGGAATCCAGATGGATCCATGATATTATATACCAATTAATTTATCATGTATCCTGGGAAATTTGATGGAAACTATTTAAGATAGAATTATTACATACACACGGGAACATGCAGTACTGAGGAAGAATCAGAATGGCTTCCGTGAGGGAAAGTCCTACCTCCTGACCTTTGGAGTTCTTTGAGCATATTAATGTGGATAAGAATGAGCTGGCAGGCATTATAAACAAGCAGAGAGCAGGAGTAAGTGGCAATAGAAGGAAGGAAAAAGTGAGGTCTTCCAGGACTGGTGCTTTTTAATTTGGTCATAAGTGATCTGGAAGTGGGAATGAGCAAGAAAGTGGCTAAATCTGCAGAGAATGTAAACTGTGCAGGATGGTGAAAACCAGAGGAGATAGTGGGGAGCTCCATGAGAATGTCTCCAAACTGGGTGAGTGGGCAACAACATGGCAGATGAGGTAAAATATAAAGTGATGTTCAAATGTAACACAATGCACAATGGGACAAAAGAACTTAACTTGACATATAAATTGATGGGGTTTAAAACTGACAGTGACTGACCAGAAAAGAGGCCATGGAGGATAGTTTAACAAAAATGCAGAAGTGAGAACAAAATTTCTGTGTTAGGGATTATTAGTGAAGTGGGTGAAAAGACTCAGTATCATAATGCCCCTATATAGACTGGTAGTATTAATACTATGTGCAATTCTGACTGCTGCATCTCAAAAAGGGTATCAGAGATGCAGAAAAGTCAGGCAAGGATCAGTGGGACTGGAGTACTTACTCTACAAAAAGCCTAAATTGTTTGGACCTAATAGGTTAAGGGGGGGAAACCTAAGGCAAAATGATCGACATTTCTAAAATGATGCATGAGGTGTAAAGAATGAATAGAGAACTTAATATTTCATACAACGAATTGATGTCAACGTAATGTATATCATTGTGAACTTTTTTTTAAAAAAGGAAGAAAACCCAGCATGAAGTGACAAAAATTGTTGTCGCCATATCTTTGAATGTTCAAAGCACACTGAGAAAGACATGCCACAAGGGGGCACAATTGAACTGCTTTTGTACCTGAAGGGAGGCCATTTACTGCTTGCATACTCAAGGCTGTGCAAGACAGCAAGAATTCTTGCCTTCATTCCAATTCTCGGTATCTCACCCCACTAACAATACTGAGATTTTGGATGCTGTTAAACAATTCTCATAGCCTCTGTTTAGAATACTGATTATACAGGAATATTTTTTAAAATGGTTTTCACTGTAGACATGGCACACAAAAATCCAAATCCAAAGTATTTTTCAGATTAAGACATAATTCCCAATCATGGTAAGAACTTTAGTTTGCAAGAGTATACTTACTGCTGTTGTACAATAGCTGAAGAATAAGTATAAATGTGACCTACAGCATAACAATCCATATGGAAATCCTCCTATTACTTTGGGTGTTAATATTCATTTTTACCAATACAGGCTGCAGCCTAAGGCTCAGTTAGAAACATACATAAGGGGGCATATCACTGCAGATTTAATTAAAAACACTGACTAGGTTGTGCCGAAAGTTAAGCGCTTTTAAGATTCACTACTTTCAGCAAAACACCATTAAATTTATTCTCTGACTAGATGATGTTCACTATATTCCTAAAAATCATGCAATGTTACTGAAATCACTATTCCCGTTTTATAGACTAGCCCAAGATTACCCACAATACTCAGGTCTCTGTACCTCCTAATGTTACGTTGCCATGAAGAAACCGTCCTTGATAAATAAGCCGCAGAATATTCGGACTGCTCACCTGCTCTTCTTCCCAGTCTGAAAAAGCACAAGAAGAGTGTCAAGGCCATTAACATTCTTATTTTCTCTCATTATGCCCTTAAGGCACCTCACACAATGTAAATGACTGCATATGTAAAACATCTATTATACAAATGCTGTCCTAGCTTCCTTCCAATGAGGAGGCAAAGAAGCCCTTTTATCCATAAAAATGGCACTGAGGGTGGCTGGGAGAAGAACAGAATTAGGAGGCAAGAATTTCAACTGATAATTACAACCCTGTCTAGCTGCAGCTACTCACAGAAAACACAAACTGTATTACGAAAATTAACAACTTCACAAGAGAAAACTGAGCTCTGCTTTTACAGGACTGAGCTGCCCCATCACCTCCCCTCTACCAACTGCCCCTACACCAATGTCAAGCCAGCCCTGAGGCCTGGAGGCATTCTGGAGCAGCCGCAGCACAGCCCCCCCCCCCCCCCCCCCCCCCCCCAACAGAAGCAGCAGGTTCCTTTCGATTCAGCTCATGGATAATAAGCTGCCATCTCTGGTTTCCATTTAAGTCAAGGAACTCACAATGCATTCCAATGGCTAGAGCCTACAAAACCAGATCACCCTTTATATGGCAGGTGCCCAGCCAAAAAAACTGATGTGACCCCTGATTGCCAGCCCTTGAAAGAGACTAGCACCAGTCTGGGCTAAGTGAACATATTTAATGAGACGCCAAATTTAGCTTTTCACAGAATTAATGCTAACCTTTGTAAATATAATGGTTCAAATTTAAAATCTTACTTAATAGTCAACTGAAGCAGGAAAAAACATATTTCAGAAGTTTGCACTTCAATCTTTCCAACTTGGGGGGGGGGGAGAGAATTAAATCCATAAACACAGTCAGAAAATACCCAATTTAATGACCTTAGCATTTTAAAAGCCCAAATACTTTTTGCATGGTTCAGTCCTTCCTGCAAGTCAAAATGTCTTGGAGATGAGAACAAGACTACCCAGATCGATACTGAATACTTGTCTTAAGTGGCGCATCAGCATAAACAAATTACCATAAGTACAATGTGTTTTTTCACTTTGTTGGAGATCACAGAGACCTCCCAGTACCCTGGATAGGCAATATTTCACTTTTTAAAAGAAATATTCAGGAAGACTTAAAACAGAAAGACTGAGATCTTGAGGTCAGCTTCCTGGAAGTAAGTCCCACTGAATAAAATGGGACTTCTCAGTAGACCTGTAAAGGATTGTTCCCAAAATCACTTAATTTTGTACTGCAGAAAATGTGAGTTCACAAAGTGGTACAGTTTTGGGGGGCAGAATTATAGTCCCAAATGGATAAAAGCATTAAGGACTGCAGCCCTGTACCCCCTTTTTAACGCATATAATTTTCTTTGATGTCACAATTACATGTGACAATCTACCACTGAGCGCATTAATACCATTGTTTCTTTTATTAAACTCTGAAATGAACAGCTTGAATATTTAAGAGTCTAATCAGAAAACAGAAATGATCCTACGCACAAATGCACAATATTCTACTCAGTGTCAACATTTAGAAAACCAGACAAAGATGTCAAAAACTGTAAAAACAGAAGATGATAATGATTATTCTTACTGGGTTCTAACTAACCTGAAAGAAAAATGTTGAATACATTCTTAAAACTTGCTCCCCCCGCCCCCGCTTTCCTTAGAAAAAATGTATCCCAAAATCTGAGGTTGGGTCCAAACTACACATCTGAATAGCTGAAGAGCAGTAATAATTCACATTTGTTTTTACCTTTAGGCTTGCAATGCCCAGTCTTCAAGAAGAGCAAGAAGTGCTATAACTGAGCAATTACCTTCAAAAATGTGGTTCTGTACACACATCTTGCAGGGAGTCCCCCCAAAATCCTCACATAGTAAATCACAACACAGACCTTTAGATGCTATGCAACCTGACTGAGCAAGGGACTCAGTAGCCATTTTAGTACTGTAATTCATGCTGCTAAATTCTTGCACTTTTTAAAAAGTCTTAATGCCTTGATTGGAAAACCATTCAGATCTCTGCTTTGCTTATGTTTTTAAAGAACCTGAAGAAAAATCCATGCTGTTTAGCAGTTAAGCACTGCAAAAGGACACTCATTAGAACATAAGAAGAGCCCTGCTGGATCAGACCAATGGTTCATCTAGTCCAGCATCCTGTCTCACACAGTGGCCACCCGGTTACTCTGGAGGGTCAGCAACAGGGCATAGAGGCCAAAACCTCTGGTTTTTTAGCCTCTGGCCCAGTTACCAGAATTGGGGAAAACACTGCATATAGAACAAAGGTTGTGGTAGGAGTATCCTGCCGTCAAGAAAAAATACCTGCTTCATCCCCCCTCAGCGAAAATGCTTTTCTTCTGCGCCAATTGGGCTTAAGGAAGACAGAGAATTTAACTAAAAGAAGACAAACGCTACTCACATAAAAGTTGCTCCAAAATGACTGGGATGCCCTTCAAACAGATGCTAGACGAAAATGCTCCCCACTTAATCTAGGAATTAAATATTCCACTAAATTTGACCTGCCTCTCTACTTAAAACATGTTGACCATTCCTAAATTGAGGCGGTCATATATGATTGCACGCGGCAATGCATTTCCAACAGCCCAGATGAAGGGCCGTTTTCTCAAGACTCCTCTGGACCAGCGCCATTGTGACTGTCCTTTGATAGAACTTGACTCACTGTGTCATGTTTTCTTCTATTGTCTAAAACATGCAACAGCAAGAGAAAGATTCTTAAGAAAATGGCTGTCGAAATATTCATCTTTTCCTGATGCATCAAGATTAAGACTACTTCTGAGCAGCCTCTGCCAAAATTGCATTGTGGATGTGGCAAATTTCCGTTTTACTGTTCTTTTAAATTCTTAATTTTTTAAAAAATGGTGTATGGCCTATGGGCTACTAAACCTTAAATAAACTAACTAACTAAACTTTTCTTCTGCATTATGACTACATGCTAATGTAGTTCTGGATGACATTCAGTAGAAAGGATTTTTGAAATATATATATTTTCTTGTATACTGAGCCAGAGAATCTATTGGGGATATCTCCCATATATAGAATTGTAATGCTTCATTTGGTCCTCAGTGTAGCTGTGGAACCCTGTCTGCTGATCATTGCTCTCTGCTTAAACACCCCCCTCCCCGAGTTTTCTAATGCTAGATATTCTGGCTAGCTTGAGACAGAAGGGTCTAAGATCCCTTAAGGATGAACTGATGTTAGGAATACAAGGGAACTGAGCAACAGATTCACTATTATGAGGTACAGGGAGAAATTTTATTTAGATATTTATACCTCACTTTTCTCTCCAATGAGGATCCAAAGCAGTCTACATCATTCTCATTTCCTCCATTCTATCCTCACAACAATCCTGTGAGGTAGGTTTGAGAGACTGATTAGCATAAGGTCACCCAGCAAGCTATCATGACAATGTGGGGAATCAAATCTGGTCCTCCCAAATTCACACTAACACACTAACAACTGTACCAGACTGCTTCTTCAAACAAAGGACAAATTATATCAGAGAAATACTATCTCAGGGAAATATATTAGCCTGAGAGTTAACAGGGATTTAAATAAGTTGCAACAAACAGCAATTTCTCTTATGACCTACAAGGAGGTCACACTTATTGCAATTCTGCAGAAATACAACCTGCTACCTAAGTGAACTATGTTCTGATGTTGTCCAATGTGAAAGCATTAGCTCATCTCCCTTCTGTTAAAAAAAAAACTTCCAACTATATTACAAGTATAAACTGAGGTGTTCACCTATGGCAACAAAGAGGGGCTAAAGAGACCAAAGCCAGAGAAGTTTCACACTGTAAAGCGTTTATATAGTCTTAAGCATGTTGGAATCCATTTCTGAACAGCACTACAAGTCATTTATTTATTTATTTATATTTGACTTACATCCCACCCTTCCCGCATGGCAGGCTCAGGGTGGGTTACATCAGATTTAATAAAAATACAATATATAAAATACAAAGGAACTGGTAAAAATAGAATTAAAATGCTAATAAATTACAACGATATCCTTGAGCTGGTGCAGTTGTCATTAGAATTAAGTCTCACAGATGCCATCTCTGGTAAGCAGTTCTGACCCACTGAGGGGAGACCCAGAAAAGAGGGAGGGACATCTGTCACTCTAGTTAAAAGCCTGGCGGAAGAGCTCCATCTTGCAGGCCCTGCAGAACTGTAAAAGGTCTCGCAGGGCCCTGATCTTGTATGGGAGCTCATTCCACCAGGCAGGGGACAGGGCTGAAAAGGCTATGGCCCTAGTAGAGGCGAGACGGACATCCCTGGGGCCAGGTACCACCAGAAGTTGTTGATTGGCAGATCATAAAACCCTTCGGGGCTCATAGAGGGAGAGGCGGTCTTGCAGATATGCGGGCCCCTGGCCGTATAAAGCTTTAAAGGTAAGCACCAACACCTTGAAACGGATCCGGTACTCAATGGGCAGCCAGTGCAGTTCACGCAGCCCCGGGCTGCACAGGCAGCGACATCAATACCCGTGCCGCTGCATTCTGCACCAGCTGGTTTCCAGAACAAAGTCAAGGGCAGCCCCATGTAGAGAGAATTACAATACTCTAGTCTGGAAGTGACCATTGCATGGGTCACTGTAGCCAGATCCCGGGGGGTTGAGATATGGAGCCAACTGCCTGATCTGTCTCAAATGGAAAAAGGTAGACCTGGCAGTGGCAGCAACCTGGACCTCCATATTTAATGAGGCATCCAGGAATACCCCCAGGCTCTTCACCTTCGACAACGGTACCTGTAGGGTCCCATCAAAGGTTGGAAGCCCAATCCCGGTCCCCCGCAACCCAGGTACAGGACCTTCGTCTTTGATGGATTCAATTTCAGTCGGCTGTGTTGTAACCAACCAGCCACAGCTTGTAACGCCCTGTCCAGATTTTGGGGGGCAGTGCCCGGGTGGCCATCCATCAGTAGATAGAGCTGGGCACCATCTGCATATTGGTGACAATCCAGCCCATATCTCCGGATAATCTGAGTGAGGGGGTGCATATAGATATTAAACAGCACTAGGGAGAGAATCAACCCCTGTGGCCACATTCTAGAAGGTGTTGCTGAGATAATTCCCTCCCAAGTGCCACCCTCTGTCCCCGACCTTGGAGAAAGGAGATCAGCCACTGCAAGGCAGGCCTCCTTATCCCCACATCGGCGATGCAGTGGGTCAACAGATCATAGTCAACCGTATTGAATGCTGCTGACAGATCAAGAAGTTATCAGCAGCGCCGATCTGCCTCAGTCCAGATGTCTCTGAAGGTCATCCACTAAGGTGACCAACACCGTCTCCATCCCATGGGCAGGGTGAAAACTGGACTGGAAGGGATCCAGGATGTTAGCCTTTTCCAGGAAAACCTGGAGCTGTGTTGCCACTGCCTTCTCCACTACTTTACCCAGGAACGGTAGATTAGACACTGGGCGGCAGTTCATAAGGACCGTGAGGTCCAAAGAAGGTTTTTTTAGGAGAGGGCGGACTACCACCTCCTTCAATCCCTCTGGGAAGGTTCCCGTTAATAGGGACAGATTGATAATCTCCCTCAGAGGAGTCTGCACCTCATCGCCACAGGCTTTCACCAGCCATGATGGGCAAGGATCGAGGAGGCATGTAGTGGACTTCACAGCAGCCAGGGTCCTGTGAACTTCCTCCTGGGTGAGCAGACTGAAATGGTCCAACACTGGACCTGAAGACAGCCAAGGGGCTTCCAGTTCCCTTATGGTATCAAGTGTGGCTGGAAGATCATGGCGGAGTGACAAGACTTTATCTGCAAAGTGACTCGCAAATGCCTCACAGCCTATAGCCAATTCTCTAGCATTTGGAAAGCCCAGAGCATACATGCATGTGCATAAATGCAAGCAGACAAAGCATGCCATGTTTATAGAAGGCAACATGGTTCCCATGTGCTCAAAAAGAAGAAGAAGAAGCTGAGATTGGATTTATACCCCGCTCTTCACTCGGAGTCTCAGAGTGGCTTACAAACTCCTTTCCCTTCCCCTCCCCAACAGACACCCTCTGACGTAGGTGGGGCTGAGAGAGCTCTCTGAAGAACTGCCCTTGAGAGAACAGCTCTGAGAGAACTTGTGGCTGACCCAAGGTCACACCAGCAGCTGCATGTGTAGGAGTGGGGAATCAAACCCGGTTCTCCCAGATTAGAGTCCGTGCACTTAACCACTACACCAAACTGGCTTTTAATTGCAGCTGCTGAGTACTTTACATGTGACATAAAAAGAACTGTTTGCAGTCACAGTGTACAAATGCAGAAGTTGGTACAAGGATCAGAATCCGCGTTCTGATGGGATGGAAAAGTGTCCATGCAGCACACAGAAGATCACATCCTTGTATCCCAAATTTCATTAATCTAGAGCTACAATGCAGACCAGAGCAGGATGTAACTTGGGCTGTGCTCACTCATTAAAGCGTCCCTCCCTGGAACGTGAATTTTTCCTACTGACTTGAATTACAGTAAGGTGGCACAGCTATTAAGTTATCATTAATCAAGATTTCATTATCAAATTGCAGTAGAACAGTGATAATCAGTGGCTTGGGAGCTACATGTGTGGCTCTTTGATATGCCACCTGTGGTTCTTCTGAGCACCATTCCCCAACATGGCACCCGCTCCAGGCTTCAGAAAAGTGGGTAAAGCTATTGCCTGGTGGGGGTTGTGATTGGCTTGTGGTTCCCACTTAGCACAGAGACAAGTTCTAACCACCCTGTTTCTTGCCATGCTAGAATTCAATCTTAATGTTACTTTTAGCTTAAGGAGCCATTTTTCTTTTAGCAATCAGCCAAATAGGATGTTGTGCAGAACTTGAAAGCTTGCACACTATTTTGTGTGATAGGTCTGATTTGCAAGCACTTTCCCCTCACTCCAGATACACAAGGCCTGGCTAAGGCTCAACAATGGAAAGGAGAGACCACCCCACATGCTTAGGGTTGCTGTAGTAAGTTATAAATTTAGTATTAATACATATATCTTAATGTATGTGCATGTTTGGTGTGGTGGATCAAAGGGCATACAGTAGTCATGTGGCTCTTAAGATTGATGGTAATTGCATGTGACTCTCTGTGAACAGTGGAGAGAGTATCACTGAGACAAAAGGTTGCTGTGCATTAACTACACTTGAATGGTAGAACCGACATATCCCTCATCCAGAAAAAGGTCAGAGGGGAAGTCACATATTCACTAGAGATAATCGCACAAACACTGCTAATGCAACTCAACAGGGTTTGCAGAAAGCCCAATAAATAGCTGAGTAGTGGGGAGCAGCTTCCTCCCCGGCACTCGGCTGTTTTGGGCTATCTTGTGCACTCTCTTTAAAGTTTAAAGGGACTGCAGAAGACAGCCAGAAAAACAGCTGTGTGGAGGAGGAAGCTGCTTCCAAACCGCTCAGCTGTTTCATGCTGTCTTCTGCAGTCCCTTTAAACTTTAAAAGGACTGCAGAAAACAGCCAGAAAAAAAGCAGCCAGCAGAAAGGGGAGGACCCCCCAAGAAGGGACTTCCCTCCCACCTTTCTGCTGGCCACAGTGAGCCCCGGCCAGCAGAAAGGGGGTGGGAATCTCCCGGGAAGAGAGATCTTCCTCCCCTTCCATTCTGCTGGAGATCTTCCCTCCCTCCTTTCTGCTGACGGTGGCTCCTCACTGCCAACAGAAAGGAAGGGAGGGAAGATGTCAGATCCTCCCTCCAATCTTTCTGTGGGCAGCAGGGAGACTCCGCCAGTAGAAAAGAAGGGAAGGAAGATGTCAGCTCTTCCCTCCCTTCCTTTTTGCTGGCAGGGGTGGGGATCACCGGGAAAGGACTTTCCTTTTCCCCTTCTCCCAGCCATGGTTCGCCGTGGCTGGGAGAAAGAGGTCAGGGATCACCTGGGAAGGGGCTTCATTTAACCCTTTGGTTTTGCCCTCTGCCACTTTGAGGGGGGGGGCAAAACCAGAGCATTAAATACAGGTGTGAAGTACCTCCCTGGGGGCATCTCACCTCCTTTTTGCTGGCCCAGCTGTCTCAGACTCCCTTCTGCAGCCTGTTTAAAGGGGCTGTGTGAGGGAGCACAAGACAGCTGAACCAGGAGACCGAAGCCCAGAACAGCTGAACTGAACTGGGCAAAAGTCCAGTAAATGTTTGGGGAATGCACCTTCCTTGAACATCAGTTCCCAAGCTCCGAATCGGCCCAAGTTCAGCCTGAATTTTGGCTCATGAGCCGGTTTGTGCTCATCCCTAGTATCCACCCTCCCACACACACATACACACTGCTGTGCTGCTGGTGGAATGGCTTTTTGAGGGGTTTTTAAATTGGAAATCGACATATTGGTATACTAATATAATGGTATATTTCTGTGTCAGTCAAGTTCCTTGAAGTGACCCCCACAGGCATGGCAGTCAGAAATGCCCGCTGTGGGTTGAAGGGGTGCAGGAAACTTATCTGGAGGTTGTGCTCCATTAGAGCAACAGCAACAACATGGTTTTCAAAAGAAATTATCACTCTGTGCAATAGTCTAATGATGTCAGGGACTTAAGCATCCATACTGAGACATCATATTGCAGTCCTAGGCTTGGATCCTGTCCCTCTCCTCCATGTGCACTTTTCTTCAGGCACTGAGGAGGCAGTTCCACACTGCCGATTTACATATCTCCCATACCTGACACTTTGGGGCTCTCTGAAAAATACAGGAATTGCACAAATGGAAATGGGGGAAGCAAGCCCTGCAGTGGAGGACTGCCGCTATCATGAATGGAGAGAAGCATGTATGGAACAACAGTGTAAGAGCCAAGCCTATGGACGCAATCCTGTGGACAGATACCAGATACATGTTCAGATTCTGTTCTGAGGCACATGAGCACTTTCAACACTGTCTGGCAGCTAACTTGAGTTGAAAAGCACCAGTTGTTACAAAGCAGTGTTAGGAAGATACTACTTCCAGGGGGAAAGCATTGTGTCGTGTGCTAAACCAAACTGGATAAACATATGGAGCAGAGGTCCATCAGTGGCTATTATCCACAAAGTATAGGTAGGAACTCTTGGTCTGGGGCAAGTGATGCTCTGTATTCTTGGTGCTTGGGGGGAAACAGTGGGAGGGCTTCTAGTGTCCTGGCCCCACTGGTGGATCTCCTGATGGCACCTAGTATTTTTGGCCACTGTGTGACAGAGTGTTGGACTGGATGGGCCATTGGCCTGATCCAACAATGGCTTCTCTTATGTTCTCTTATGTTCTTAAACCCTTTGCTACCCTCTATCCCTTCCAACTTCCTCTCATCCACTTTTCACCCACCTCAGTGGTCCAAACTTTAGCTGGTCACTAAATAGATAATTCCACAATTTTTATTTTATCCTGTACAGTTGCTATGGCTTTTTTGCTAATGCAATAAATATTATTATTATTATTATTATAATTCCACAATAAGCTGCAATGTTTACTATAGAACGTTCCTATATTTCCCTCCAGACCCAATTGGACCAACATTAACAGGCCAATGATATTCATTACTCCAAAAACTAGGTGGAAAAAAAATACAGAAAATAAGGAAAGGCACAGATAAAACCACACAGAGGGGCAACACAGTACCATCCATATTCAACATTTCTAACACTCTGCACTGGGAAATAAAGATTCTTTCTTCTCTGCCCTCCCCCTAATAGTTTGAAAGTACTAACTGAACACTTAAAATAAATTTTAAAACATATATTACTTACCCATTGGCCAATTATCATATACATGTTTTGCGATGTCTGCTGCCGAATCATTTGGTGAGAATAAGAATTCTTTTGTTTTTCCACTTACCAAGATGAGGCGCAAATTTATCTGCAAAAGTAAATGAATAAGGAAAGTGTCAAAATTACAGATCTGTATACTGACAATTATGGCTAAAATCTGCATTATTCTATAACACTGGATCAATGAGGCAAGTGCATTTCAAAACAGGTATCTTGGCTGGAGGTTGTATAAGACAGCAAGCAAAGTAAGTCAAAATAACTTATATTGATACACACACACATACACACATACACACACACATATATGCAGTTAAAAGAATCCAAGGAGTATTGTAGGAAACCTCTGAAAGCCAATCTTCCAATTTAATCTCTGGAAATCTCAACAAGAGACAACAGCTGACAATGTTTAACTACACAAAAGTTACTGTGGTCAGATTTTCAGAAAATTGCAGAAACCAACCAACCAGCCAGATGTTTCAGAAACAAGTTTAAAATGTTGAAAAACTAGGCCCATTGCAGTTATTTAGGACTGCAGCCATGTAACAAGAGACTGTTTATTTATTAAAACATTTATACACTGCCTTTCCTCTTGGTTCAAGGTACCTTACAATAATAGTTACAATATCCCTACCAAATAAAACTGGACATATTCACCTGACCACAGCCTCAAAGCGGCGGTTTAGAACCCAGAACAACACATCTGGAGACTCGGACAATGAAATACAGAGCTGGATGTCACCTACATATTGGGGGCACCCAAGTTCAAAGCTCTGAACAATCTCACTCAGTGACATGGGTAAGAGAATAGAATCCTGTAGCACCCTGCAAGATAAACCCCACCCAATTGATTCTGCACCTCTGGTGGAGACTCTGTGTCAAGTCAGACAAAAAAAGAGAGAAATCACCACTGGGTTACCCCCTTAATACCAAAACATTCAAGCCAGTGGATAACAATGGAATGGTCACTTGTATCAAAGGCTGCTAAGAGGTCCAACAGTATCAACAGGGAAGACAATCCCTTGTCCCAGATTCAACCAAAGATTGCCCACCATTGCAATCAAAGCCATCGAGTACCAAATCTGGTCTGAAACCAGATTGAAATGGGAAAACATCACAGCTGGGGGCCAAATTTTCATCACCTTCAGGGTCAGACTTAGGTATTCTCAAGTCAAGAACCACTTTGAACAATTGAGCTGGATGAGATTCTGCTGATGCAATGGTCTGCAAATGGGCTTTATGGCGTGCTCTGTCTGTTCATCCCAGGTCTTCCACCAACACTGCTCTAGTTATCTTCCAGTCTGCTTCATGTTGCCCAGCTTCCTGTTAAAACAAGGAACTGAGGGCCTCACAGCGTGTGGAAGAGAACACCAAGGAGCAACTCTGTTTATGGCTCCAGTCAGCCCATCATTCCATTTTCCTACAAGGGCTTCCATTGGGGAGGCTCTCAAAATCCCAAAGAGTGACCTAGAAAACCAGCAGGATCCATTAACCTCCAAGGGCAGACCATCCGAATCAGTCCACCACCCTTGCAGAGAGGAGGCAGCAAGCTCAACCGCACCTTCAGAATATAGTGAAGATCTGACACAAGGGCAAAGCACTTGGTACAGAAAAGAAGGTCCCGTATATGTCCCTTCTTACGTGTTGGGCCCATTGCATTTTGAGACTGACCCACGGTTGTTAGTCAAGTCAAGTTTAGTTTATTGTCTTAGCCATTGGCCATAACAACACAAAATAAATCAAAGCACAACCAACAGTATACATCAGTAACTTACAGTAAGTCCTATACCCAGTCTTATCTTTTTCGCCGCCAGTGCAGCCATGAAGTCCTAAGTCTGACCTGACAAGGCAGCCTCAGCATGTATGCTGAAATCTCCAAGGACAATAATTCTTGAGGGTTCTCAGCACCAAGTCTGTCAGCTCAGCCAGAGATCCTGCTGGTAAACTAGGCAAACAATATACCAGCAAGTTCCCCAATATGTCCCTGCTGCCCAGCACAAGGTACACACAATCATAGCTGGCCTCTGTCTGCACTGGGTACATAGTGATGGAGAAATTTTCGTGGAAAGAAATGCTATCCCACTGACCCATCCTCCCATTCAAGTTGGTGAAGGACTTTATACCCAGCCGGTGTGAGCTGTGTCAGAGTGACCATATCAGAGACATGCAGTCAGGTCAACCTATTCCTCACTCAACAGGTCAAGTGTTGTAGAGATGTTATTTTTCACAGACCTGGCATTATACAACACCAAGGTTCAAGTACAGCCACTTAACAGAGCCTCTGCACTTACATTTTGAGGGATGGGGTAGAGATTAGACATGCAGCAACCACCATTATGTCTCCCTGCATGTCTTCCAGCACCAACACTCCTCCCACTGCTATATCTTCCCACCACTTGCACCACCTTGATCCAAGATGGAACAACACACATGCTCGAAGCCAGCCAAGTCCGAATGCCCTACCCTAGATCTCCACAACCACCATTTGCAATAGATGCCAAATCCTCCTTGTGTTATGAAGGCAAGCTGAGCCAGAAGGAGCCGGCTGCTAGCAGAGCTGAGTCAGCATGCAGGCTTCTCTAGCTGCAGTCAGTGTCATAAATTAGGCACCTCAAGATACTTCTAGCACTCACAGTCGCTTCAGGCTTGGCCTCTTCTTAGTGACCAAGTGCAGCAGATAGCGACAGGAGGGCACGAGGACTAGATGGGAGGTCAGGAGGACTAGGGGGACAATCTTTCCCTTCTCCGCTAAACTGCCAGGACACCAGTAGGTACTATTGTCCTGAACCTATCATCTGGCTCTCATACTTCTGATACAAAAACATCTTTCAAGAGCAATAAGAAAGTGCAGACATTGGATTATAAAGCAACACAGTTGGACACCGACATATTTATCTAAGATGCTAGTTTTTCACAGACTATGGCAGGACACTGAACAGACAGGTTAAGACATTCTTACTACCATCCTACAATAAAGGAAACTCTACAGACAAGTTACAAAGGAACCACACGTTATCCAAAAGTTCTCCATTTTTAAAAAATTGAGACTGCTTGAAATACTGATGCCCCAAATCCAGCACTATGCACATATTTTCTGTACATGAATCTAGGTGGAGATGTGCATGTAAATTACACATGCAATTGTGATTAACAGTCACAGGCACTGAAGACAATTTTCCCAGTCTAGATCAGAGCATGAGCACCTGTTTTACATTTGATTCCTCTGATGATAATGAACTGCTTAAGGGAGACTTATCTTGGTTATATAGCACTGGGAGGGGGAAGATTTTATAGATTATGTAAAATTAAACAGTGAAACAATGGAGTCAAGATCACATTTTAAAAAAAGAAATTACTTATAAGTCATCTTCACCCCACAAAAACATACAGATCTTGTCTCCTAAACATATTATGAAATACAATGCAGAGAGAAAACTACATATTTTGAGACAACTGATAGTTAAGATGACTTGTTAGCAATGTGTTATTTGCATTCTCCCACATCTTTGAGATTTGCAACAGCATGTTTTATAAAAATAAAGTTGTGAATACTTTTACAAACAAGCAACACAAGCACAGCATGCCATTAGAATCCTCAAGCCACAAAGGCTTAAAAAATAAGGTCTTAAACTCTGAGACAGACACACATGGCAGTAAACACATCTCATTTTAAACTCCCTTTGAAAAAATTATTTTTAGTTATATAATAAATATCTCCAACATATTAGGATATAAATAAAGTATTTAGCTCCTTATTACAAGCAGCTGTTTCTCTGCATTGGGCAACATCTACTTAAACATGTTAAGAATGTTCTGTCATGGTTCTGGACATCGTTTGGAACCAAAATAAGAGCTCCATTGGTTAACATTTTTCAACCTGAGTTGGCATATAAGACTCACAAGCATTAGGTCAACTTCAACAGTCTGTCCCACTTAACTGTAAGTAATGAGGTGCTCTCAAGTTTTTCATTGCTGGTTACTTTGGTTTGAACCCAGCATTTTCATTCTCTTAACACAGAAGTCTCCTTCCAGCACAAGGAATGTTTCATTGTCAATTACAGCTACTAGCTCCAGAGAAAAGCTCTGCTTTTAGTTGAAAAGAAATGACCGGGCCAAAAAGAAATGTTTCATCCAACCCTGCATCTTTACTGTGGTTAATCAGGTGTGTCTGTGTATTCATTATACTTATTGAAAGTATTTCTCTCTCACCTTTCAACCGAAATATCCAAGGCTACTTACAAACACTGTCATTTAAGTGCGTAAGTTTTAAAAAACATTTTTAAACATAAAAATTATTTAACACGTTTTATACTGCCTTTCCACCCTCTTAGACATGTCCTCAAGGACATGAACAGTTAAAACCATTTAGACTTCCTTTAAAAAAACAACACACATATAAACAATTAAAAACAAACAGGAAGGAGGGACAATAAAGAAGAGCCCAATTAAACAGAAGTCTTCTCCTACTGGCAGAGAATGATACAGGGGGATAGAAAATCTCCCTGGGGAGGGAATGCTGGTGCCATAACCAAGAAGGCTCTTTATTGGGTTGCCCCACATGATGGGGTGAGCACCAAGAGCAAGGTCAGGAAGGTTTATGAGAGTATGTGGTCATTACGCTATGCTAGCCTCAACACCAGCATAGATGAAACAGGACTGGAGTCATATGGTCCCTATGACTTGCTCACTCCAGTCAATGTACTTGTTGCAGCATTCTGTACTAACTGTTGTTTCTGCACACTCTTCAAGAACAGCCCCTTTAGCAGGCATGAAGGTAATCATTCAGATGTTACCATGGCATGCATCACAGTGGTAAGATTTTTTTACACAGGGAAGGCCACAGCTAGCTCACCAGCTGAAGATGGTGAAGAACACACCCAGCCACTCTGCCAACTACTTGGATACCCAGGCACAGCAGCACCCAGCAGCTGCAAACTGAGTCCCTTTAGGAAGAGTGCAAACCCACTCAGAATGGGAGATACCTCAGTACTGGAGGTGATACTGGTATCAGCTCCAGTATTGAGATATCTCCTATTCTGAGCCCAAAACTGTCTCCAGACACTGATTCAAACTTAGATGGGATCTGCTAGA